AGAGGAAGGAACTCATTAATCTTTCTACCCATTAGTGAATTTTATTCTTCCCTTAGTTTGCCAAAGTTGACATACGCATATTTAAAATACCTTGGTGTTTTGAGGTCTTTTTTTGAGGACAGTGGTTCCCAAATGGCACGCCAGTGATGATCATGAGCTTGATCTACTCACTGACTTCACAGCAGTTTTTAGAAGGCAGCAAATGAATAAATATTCAGTGTCTGCGTTTGAACTGTGAAGCTGATTTATTTACTGCATCTCAAGAAGAGGGATTAATTGATAACTTCAGCGTGGACCTGCTGTTGCTGCTCCTGGGCTGTGTGCCCATGTGGGCAGGGTCCCACTGGAGGCAGTGAGGCTCCCAGTGGTCACCAGTGCCAGCTTCCTTAGAGCAGCTCCCAGGATCGTTGCCTGCTTTCCCAAGGACCCGCAGGATGCTGCTGGCAGCAAAGAAAGCTCTGTGGCACAAGGCGGCAGCGCTGGACAATGAGTGTTGGTCTTTGCAAGGTCAAAATTGCGCTGAGTACCTAACAGGGAACTGGGTTGACTGAAACAATTACAAGTCAGTTTGCCAGAACAACATGGCATTTCAGGGCAGCATAACATTTCAGAAGAAATGTATGAATAACACTGAAGCAAGAAGGGTACCGAGGACTGAGTACTAATTGACGTCAATACTTGATCCGTCCTGGCAAGGGGAGGCTCGGGGTGAAAGAACAGAGATGTTATACGATGGCAAGTTTTCAGTTATTAATTGTAAATTGTCTCATTTCTACTTTTGGAAATTATGGCTGCCAAATCCTGTACCTCTATAGACAGCATCCTGGTTAGCAAAGAGGATTTGTATGTAAGAAGTGAGTGCAACTTTATGTCAGTGCTGGTGCACTATCTAATCACTGACTCGAGCAAAGAGTCACAAGGAAACCAGAGCTCAGAGGTGGGGCAGGATTTGATTTGGCAGTGTTCAATGGCAGTGTCTGTTGCCATATTAAATACCTAGAAGGCAGCAGGA